CAAATTTCATGGGCATTTCATGGCAGCCCTGCTCCTCGCCACTGATTGGCAGAGGGCACATTCACTCAGCCTAGTCACTACTGCTTTTTTGGGGTGATTTCACAGGAAACTGCAGCCAATGCCAGATTTCCCAGCCATCACAAAAACTGTTTTTGGTGGTTTCCACAAAATCTGTGAAACCATTGATTTAGGTAGGTTTCTACTTCTAAGGGGTGAGAGGGAAGAAGAGAAGGGCAACGCAAAAGAGAAGGGCAAGCGACCTGCTATTTACTGCACATACCTTACCTATTCTCAGTTTTATTTAGTTTAGTACATATAATTCTTTCCACTCACTATATTATAGTTAAATGAACTCAAAACTGAGGGCTAGACTCTGCACATTGTTCGCACCAGATTATTTTTACAAGTTTAGACATCTGTAATTACAGAGCAAAGCTCTGAAAGTAGACCAACCATTATGAAAAGATCATTGTGCTTTTAAAAAAAAAAAAAAAAAAAATCTTAAAACCTGTAGTCATATAAAAAATTAGTCTGTGTGAATACTTCAAATTTATTTTATTGGTCCTGAAGAGCTAGTATACATTTCTTTTTATAAAATAGGATGCAAAAATGGTGTTTTAATAACAGTATTTGAATTTACACTAATCTGTAATGTTTAGAATCTTCATGAAATAGAGGGACTGTGAACACTTTCATTTTTAAAACCATAATTAGCCCTTTCCTTACAATAAGGTTTCAACATACGAATAAATGACAAGGATCACAACAATTCTACACAAAGTCTATCATCCAGATTCAGTTATACTTTTACTTGCCAAACCTCACACATTTGACTACTAGCAACCAAGACCTCTGCTTTATTTCTTGCTCAGCCTTTTCTTTGCCACTGAATCCACTCCAGTGTTGGCCAGCTTTATAAACAGACAAACTATGGAGTTTAGGGTTTACTCAGATGCAACTACAAGTGCACTATAACACTGCAAAAATATAGTTTAATTCTTTGCAACCTGTTTACACAAGCTATACTGGTGCCCTTTTTATGTTTATGCAGTCTATCTATGCAAGACATTTTTTAATCGGTGTCTTGCATGATTGGAAACCTTACAGAGCAGCAGGCTGTCGCTTATGACCCAGCCACTGATTCCCCACTCTGCATCAGGCCTCTGCCTCCCAACCCCAGCAACAGTGGAGAGAGGCAGATTTGGTGGTGATAAGTGCATACCAGAGAGAGAAGAATAGAGCAGCATTACAGAAATAAGTAGGGAGGGCTGTAGGGAGGGGTATGTAGCATAATGCAGGGCAGAGAAGCGGGGGGGCACGCGGAGCCAAGCTGCATACCACCAATTCCTCATAAAACATCCAGCTCAGTCGATTTCCTCTCAATTCACACCAAGCTACAGCCTTCGATTCCATTGGTTTGGCCAGAAGTGTCAATAAAACTGTATGCACACTGTCACCATTGTTCAGAAACTCTCTCTAGGGAGAGATGCATAAATGGAGGATAGTCACTAGAGGCAATTACAGAGATGCATATTTCCTCCTCCCACTGTGGCAAGGTCTCCACAGTGACAAAATTCTCAGAACTTCAAAGCAGAAATGGGCCAAATTTTCCAAAGAAGATCTAAAAACTAAAAAGTGACTAACATTTGTCAGTTCTGCAAAAGGACAAAGCAAAGACCAATTGTACACTAATTTATCAGTCACCTATTTTGGTTTACAAGTTGGGACAATAAGCAAATAAGTATTTTTTCCTCAGTCCAGGATCTAACACATTGATATTTCTTACTTGAAAAGATGTGAAATAAATGTATCCATACATCTTCCACAGTAAAAAATTGAGTAGTTCCTCACTGAAAATAGTTTATCTAGTCTATTTGTTTCATTTTACCATTTTAAAAACACTACCATATAAAATGTCACTTTGCCAGAAACTTGTTGAAATGCAATCTCCCATTAAAAAAGTTTCCTGTTCTCTTACTGATACTTTAGAAGCAGGGGGGAAATGCACTGAAAATTGTCTTACTAGCTAGGTCCTTTAGTTTCTGGAGCATTCTGCTGTAACATTCACTTCACACAGTTAGTGCATTGGCCTCAGCTTGTTGTGATGCTGAATTTAATCTCCATGTTGTGAAATCTTAAATTTTCAAAGTGCTATAAATTTTTCCATCAATGGAGTAAATTGCTATGGTATATTGTGGCACTTTAAAGGCTTTTGGCACTGTATCAGGTAGCATGAAGTGATTTCTGTAAATAACTCTGTGGATCACTATTTTAGTGGAGTAGTTTGCACCTCTGAGCCACTGCTACAGGCCAGTGAAGACTTTGAAACCATGGACAAAGACAACAGAATAATTTTTCTACTGATAATCCTGAAATTTTACATGAAATGTAAGATTATGCAAAATGATCTCATGGCAAGAAGTGGTTATGGGATTTTGGTGCAGATGCCACAACTGACAAAGTGCCAAGGGAAAATGGACTGCCAGGCTGCCACCATTACTCCCCTCCAAACACAACATCCAATGACATGACCAAAGACCACGACCACCAAAGATCTATTCTAAGCATCTGCTTAACTGTAACACTACTGATTTTAATATTCAGTTTTAAAAGTCAAGAATATAAGTTTCATAAATCACTGAAAGATCTCTGATCTTGTTAAATTTTTAGTAATAGCTGTCACTGGTCATACATCACTTCACGATTTTATCCCTGAAAGATTTAAGAAAATATATTTCCCTATTTTGACCCTTAAAGCAAGCTCCTATCAGAGTACCTAATTACATGCTCAGATTGTTTCCTGGCCTGGAAACAGTATTGGGGAGGTTGGGGGCAGGGGCAGGCCCAGCCCCTAGTGGAGTGGGGGAAAAGCAGGAGTGGGCCCAGCCCCAAAGTTTGGGGATGGC